AAAGGTTATCGCGTTAATATGTCCAACGCATCATCTTCTGCACCACAACCTGAGCGGAGTGTACCATCTATAGCATTAAAAATGTCATTTAATATTCGTTACACTCCGATGATGGCAACCTAGCAAACTCGTACTTCTTTCTCCAAAATACGCAAGGCAATGTCATTTCAATATACAGTACATGCTTTCAATACTTCTATGGTGTCTTTCGACACACGTGATGAATCTACTTCTTATGCTAGGCACTCATTTAATGATTTCTTTAAGATGATGATGGTACCCGAGTAATAGATTCATCTAACATTATCTAGCCCGCAACAACTATTGAATGTGGTTCAAGCTCCTCATATGAGTGTCGATATAAATATTGAGCATGGAGAAGAATATCAAGGTATTAGAAAAGATGCAGTACATCGAAATCCACGTCAGAAAAGATGCAGTACATCGAAATCCACGTCGTAATAGGAGGCCCCAAGGTGTGGTATAAGAGGACTTGTGGATAGATATTAATATGATTAATTTTCCATGTATTAGTTATTAAAAAAATTTTAAATCATATAAGTTCAACTCGAAGCACTTTATTACTCTCTGTAATTCTTTACTGTGTAAGAAAACTTATGCTGTTATTTCTTAACTTAAAATAATTGTTATCCAAAACCACTAGATCATATGTGTGTTTTGATGAAAAAATATTGAGTAAAACAATTTTTTTTTATTGAAACCATTAATTAATCTGGTGGACTTTTAGCAAAATATTATTTCTCCATGTACTTTTTGCTAACTAGTAGACACATCTCATAGTTGCACTAAAACCACCAAACGAATTGTGTGTTTTAGTGAAATGGCAAATTGACAATTTAAAATTTTCATTTTGTATTAAAATCAACAATTGGATTGATGGTCTCAATACAAAATAAAAATTATTATTTATTCATATAAATATTTTCATATAACTAAATTTTTGCTATTACTATCAGTGAGAGTTACTTTTTTCTATTGCACTGAAACAATCCAAAAACTTAATTGACGATTTTTAGTGCAACACTCTCTCTCCATATCAGGAAAATATTAAATTGACAAATAATTTTAAAAATGGCATTAAATTAGAAAATAATTTTCCTGAAGATTCATTATTTTCGTCAAAAGAAAAAAAAAAAAAAAAAAAAAAAAAAAAAAAGGATATCCCTATCTGAATATGCGCGCGTGAATGTAATGCATTTGTACAAATCCACAACATGGATTTCATTTTGCTTTTTTCTCATCGAATTTTATCCTCCACTCACAAGATGATAAAAAGAATCTCGCTAATGAAATGAAAAATATAAAATTAGAAATAAAAAATATCTTGGTCAAATATTTTTTTACGTTTTTATTTAGTATAAATAATTTTGAAATGTTTAATGAACTCGAAAGTCATGCATATGAATATAATTTTTATTCCAATATTTAGTATGCAGAATTAAATAAAAATTTAGATTACATTCATATATTTAGTTAATAAGAATAGTGGAAAGAATAAAAAAAATCAAAGTTGTATTCTCTATTCTTTCCCGTTATATTGCATTTCTTTTTTATCCATAACTTACCAAATTTGTCTGATTAATAATTTGTACCAGTTGGGTCTTGTATAAAAATCCTATATTTGTTTTATTGTGGGTTTACTCTCTGTGATATAATGAATAAAACCGACCAATTTTATATAAATTTACTGATCAATTGCTGATTGTTTTTTCACAGATTATTGACTAAATAATTTAATTTTGAAAATTAGAAATTGATAATAATAACCGTTTCATGACAAAGCACCAATAAAATTACCGATAAAATACAGACAATTTACCGATAAAACTTTTCCAACCAAAATTAGCAACAAATTCTTTGATAACTAAAATTCATATTTATCTAGCGACAAAATATCGGTCAGTAATTTACCGACAGAATGATAATTGGTAGGTAATAATTTAGCGATAAAGACTTTACGGACAGAATTATTATGTCGTTAATCAATAGTTAACCTAAATTGCGATAAAATTTTCATGATTTACCTACTGAATTCTGTGGCTAATTTTTTATTTTTTTGTAGTAATTAATATACCCACTGATAACAGATTTTTACATTGAAATTACTATTAAAATAAAAGAATTATATTCAATTATCTTGTGCAATTCTTCAAACTTCAGAACATTATTTGAAATTTCTTGCAATTAGTTGTACTTAGACAACTCCTCAACCAATTTTTTTAATAAACAAGTGCAAGTAAATTATGGCTTTAATGCAAAATGTCTTCATATCGAAACGCTTCAAGAACATAAATATTGTCTGAAAGATTCTCCAATTATGCGTGCAATCTAGTTGTACTTAGACCACACACTCCACTCAAATATAAGCTCAATTTTTTTAATAAAAAGCCCAAAGTGCAAGGTGAACTAGGAAATTAAATGGCTTCTACACATGTTTTATAGAATTAATAATATTAGTCAGATAAAATGTTAAATTCCATTATTCATTCAGTTTTAACATAGGAGCTAATGATAAAGAAGAGACAAATATATTGAAGGATGTTCAAAATAAAATCTCGTTTTATTGCTTTCTAATAAACTTTGAAAATGCATATCCACACGAAATGACAGCACCCTAGGAAAGATTCCCTTATGTGAAGAATGATAATGCTGTTTAACTTTTCAATTTGATCGCTCTGGTAAATAGCCTAAATTGTTAACAGTAAGTGTCATATTCATATAAAATTATGGGAACATATTAGGATGCTTAGATTATCTGATCAGTGTAAGTCATGAAAACCAATGAACATATTGAGATATATATAACAATTGAATGAGATGATAAATAAGTTTGGAGAATAAAGATTGTTTTAGCTTCTTACATTTGAGCTATTCTTAAGAAGTTATTCTGGTGGTCTTTGAAGGGTAATAATTAAGCTGCCTAGCCATATCCTATTAAAATATAAAATCTAATTCTTTCAGAGCTTCCATATCATACACATCCCTCACACTAAACTTCCTTTTCTTCAATTTTAGAAATACATGGATGAATTTAATTGGCGTTGGGGTGTTCCGGGATGAGAGAAGAACACATGCCCACTAAAATAGTATTACACGACAATTTTATTTTGAAGATTGAGGAGTCAACCAGATTGTAATAATTTTTGTCTCTAATGTATTGTTGGCCTAAAAGGTAGGAGAGTAATATTGATTGTAAAGTTAGAATTTATTATTAGGGACGCTAGATTAGGACACTATGATTAATTATTATTTTTAAATGAAATTTTCTTAAAATTTGCAATTAAGCAAATTTTATGTTCTTAATCAAACTCAAGTTATGATATCATAGGTAGTTGAACTATGAACACACTGTACGGAACTAAGGCCTTAGAGCATTAGTCAACACTCATATTCATAAAGTACTATATAAGGAAGGAATAATTTTGTATTTATTCATAATTGAAATCATGGTCCATGTTACTTTATTTGGAGAGATAGCAGTAAAGAACACCATACCTCTAGGTTATAAAAATGCCGGAGGTAAGATTTCCCTGGAATTGAAGACTTATTGAGCCTGGAAAAGGGAGGACTTGAAAGACCATCTGGGGAATGTTAACCAACCATTGATGAGCTTCAAACTCCATGGAACAAGGGTTGGAGTCCGTATTCAAACTCCTTGTGGAGAATACATCCCAATCGCCAGTCAAATTGGATTTCGAACTGGCACCAACAATGAAGCCGAGTATAGCCTTAGCATAAGGGGTTAGAAGCGGCCTGGAAAAAGGAAAATAAGTCCTCAAGGTTTCGGGGATTCCACACTTTAATAAATTCACTTCTAACAACACAACCCACAGCACGCTCTTGGACAGCACATTAAAGATCACATAGTTAAAAAACTTTAAGGGAAAAGATCGTTCTTCTCTTGGCTAACTACCAGATTGTCCACCTTATCACAACACAGTGTTTATTCGGTGGTTACTCCAGATTTACTTCTTAGTGAGAGGCTTTTGCCCCCCAAAACAAAGATGCAGCTTTTCCCTATTTCGCTTCCCAAGATTATGAATCCGGCCAATGACTCTTACCTGCAAATTTTCAAAATTTTTCACGACGATATCAACAAAAGCTTTCTAAGTTATATTAAATCAATTTTAAACTCAGGAAAATCTTAATAAATTAACCTTTTTGGTGTGTATTTCATATAATCAGTTTCCATTTGTCTTTGTCTCTATTGGTATCTTTTTCCTCTCTGTCACTTTGCTGGAGCAAAGTGTGCAATGAAAATTACTGTCATAGCTTGTCCCTAGAGTCGAATTTAATATCACTTAGGCCAAGGCCGTCTTTGCAAATTTTCAAGACACGGAGATTTCAGTTTTTTCTGTCTATTGTCAGCTAATGGGTCTTGGACAAAATAGATTATATGGTGCTCATTGGTAAAAATGATGAGGCTTGCTTAGATTTTATATATGGGTGTACGGGGGAGGGCCAAGTCATTCGGGACTCGCTTCTAGAGATCGAGTATATCGGTTTCACAAAAAAAAAAAACACAAAAGGGCCGGCGGGAAAGACCCAGTTGGGTGCTATGCTAATACCATGATTTTGCACGTCAGAGAGGGTAAATCAAGAGCACTCATATGTGCCCATTGAGGAGGTTTAGGGAAGAGAGTTAATTTAAGAGCCACGACTCTAAATTAAATCTGCTCTTCCAATGGTAAAATGAAAGCTGATACCACCGCGAGGAACGCGCACGAAATCCCCAGCAAAACTTTGATTAACCGGAGAGTTCAATTTTGACCCACTTAGAGAGATCATCCATATTACATATTTAGGAAGAAGGAAATTGCATTCACATTACTGTTCTCTTTCTCTATGAGAGCTGCAGCAGCTTTTCCATTCGCCCCAAGCAGCTCCGGCCATGAACTCTTACCTGCAAATTTTCAATTTTTCACGACATACACAAAACCAAGTTAAAAACAAATAAACTCAGGAAACTAATAAATTACCTGGTGGACATATATCAGCCATTGTCTTTGCTCTATTGGTATCTTCCTCTCTTCCTTTCTACTAAGTGTGAAGAAAACTGTAGCTCGTGGTGAATTTATATAGAAGCTTTTAAATTTTTAGCCGGAGATTTTTTTTTATTTAGTGGTGGACAAAATAGAAATGTTTAAAACGTGGGCTGCTAATTTTAAAACGTGGGCTGCTAATTTTATTGGTTACTTCGTAAAATAAATTTCAAAAAAAAAAAAAAGGGGGAAAACGTGGGGTGCAAAATGATTGCCAAATAATAGCATTTCTATGAAGAGAGAATTTAGGCCCACTAAATATTGCTATTGCTATAACAGAGACCCAATTTAACGGTTCAATTTGGCCCAAAGATCTCATATACAATAGGAAGCCCACTTAAAGTTGTTAAGTGAAAATTTATGAACGGCTTTCTTTAAAAACAATTAATAGTTATGGAATTTGGCTCCCTTGTTCTTGTAAAATAAGTTGCAGAAATTTTCTATTGTTTGGAGCATTTATGAAAATACATCAATGGAAATAAATCATTTTAAAGAAAAATGACTTTTGATTATTGAAAGAGGAAAGTATTTTTTAGATATTGACAAACTTATTATAATTTTATAAATGCATATTTTTAATTTATTAATCACCGGTAGCCACTACCACCGGTCTTTATTCACTCAAAATTTTTAATTAATTTACAATATTGCAACTGAATAACAGAAAATAAGTTATTTGAAAAATAATAACTCATACTAAAAGATAAAATTGACATTGCAAGATTAATTAATAGAAAGTTTAAAAAAATGTAATAGTAATTCCACCCATGGAGTTAAAATAGAAAAAAAAAAAACTATTATATTTCACCATAATCGACAAATTAAACAATAATATCCCAAAAATGTTATCGATACTTGCTGGTTAGATCAACCCCTTTTTTTTTTTTTTTTTTTTTTTTTTTTTTTTGAATGAATGAAGATCAATCCAGTTGAACGTGTAGCTAAAGATTTTTTTTAATTAATAACATGCAAATTTTATGTCAACTTTAATATAATTTGTGTCAGAAAAATATATTACTAAACCTACAGCTGTGGCTCAATTGGCAACATATGTTGAACATATGAGAAGAGCTATCGGATTTGATCTCCACTAAACGCATCTGTAGCGAGGGGCAAAAAGTCTTAACTATTACTAAATCCAAAACTAAATTAAGCGATCTCTAATAACATGATCCAAATACCGGTAGTTTAAAAAAAAAAAAAAAGAGAAAAGATATATTGTGTGTGACACAATTTTTTCTTTTTTTATTGAACACAAAATGCATAAACAAAGTGCACTGTATATATATATGAAGTTGGTAAAGAGGTACCGACCTCCATTGCATGCTTAAAACAAAAGGACGAAAGCAGTTTCTATAATATTCAAGTTTCAAACATATTCCTTAGAGCCTTTTTAATTAATTGACCAACCAAATCCATAATCCTTAGTTGTTAAACTTAACACTATCCTTTCATTTGATATATTTTTTTTTCTTTTCTCATAAAAACACAATGCCCTAACTTCCCAAAAAGTCCTTATAATAAGTTCAACAACTTTTAGCCCACCAATAAAATTTTATTAATTAATTAATCAATTCATAAACTATAAAAAAACCAAAAAAAAAAAAAAAAAAAAAAAAAATAACACTAACAAAAAAAAAAAAAAAAAAGACAATATGAAAAAAAAAAAAAAAAAAAAAAAGACAAATGAATATTTGTAGAAATGGTAGCGTTCAACTAACACATGTAATATGTCGTTTTATAGTTGCTATTTGGAGCACACTCATATGCTCAAACTTATGTTGTTAATTATTAGGGCAAGTAGTTTACCTGTTTCATCAGCTACCATTCCTTTTATTATTATTATTATTATTTATTTTATTTGGCGTTAAATTAAATTAGAATTTAGTACAGAATCATTGTCCAAGAGAAAACAACTAACAATTGTTCTTTTATGATTTTCTATATATATATATTCATTGAAAATATTTTACGATATTCATTCTCTTCTTACACATGTATATATTAATATTATCTTAATCATATTTTTTTCTTTTATATTTTTAATGGAAACCGATTGATTCTGGCTAACTTTTACCGGTTATCCCTATTTTCAACTAATTTGATTCCAACGAGTCACCCCTATGTTTGTTTGAAGGTTAATAATAATATAGTAAACAAGTAGTGTCCCTTTATTGGTGAAGCCGATAGCATAAATATTATGCTATGTCAACTCGATCGAATACTTCAAATCAAAATTGTGTTTTTTTTTTCTTTGTATATGAGGTTTATTATTAGACTTCATATACAAAAATATAAAAACATATTAATCTGTATCACATATCTATATACAGTTTCCTCTTAATGAAATTTCGAATTTGATTTCTTTTTTTTTTTCTTTTTTTTTTTTTTTTTTTTTTTTTTTTTTTTTTTTTTTTTGTAAATCCTACTAGTTTCATGTTATCCTGATAGTTGAAATCCGAAATTGCCATTCAATAAAACATACTCCATCTATCCCAAAATATAAGTTGTTTAATGTTTTTCATAAAAATTAACGAAGCAATCAACTCTCCTAGATTATAACAAAACTAAAAGTAATTTGACCAAATTATACTTTATTTCAAAACTAATAGTTACTTGTGAAAGTATTTATTCTATCTAATGTAAATAAGGATAACATTGGAAAAATATTATTTATTACTCCTTAAAATACTCAAAACGACTTATATTTTGGGATAGAGGGAATAATAAACAAAACAAAACCTATTCCGTCTCTTTCTTCCCCTTCTCCCTTTTGTTTCTCGATTGTTATATATTCCATTGTTTATTAAAAAACAAACAGAGGCATTTGGTGCATGACGATTGATGTGCAGAAATCTTGGGCCGAATGAATAATTTCCTCCCTCAACTTTTCTCAAATTGCCATTTGTGCCTCTCAAATTTGCAGGGGACTGTTTGTGTCCTTTAAGTTGCGTTTTTTGTAGCTTTTGTACCCCTGAGCAAATTGAAGATTTTGCATGAAATACACTCACGTTAACGTGTCATAGGCAGTTAATTTGTCGTTAATTTATCTGACACGTTGGTTTCCACATGTACAAGAAATAACAGGAAAGAGAAAAGAAGAATAAGTTGGTAGTTTCGATTGAAAAAAATTGAAAATAAAAATAAATATTGAATACCCAAAATCAGATCAAGAGACTATCAATACCCAAAATCAGATCAAGAAAAAATAAAAATTGAAAAAAAGTCATACAAATCTGTGTTAGTGGTTTTGATTTTCATTAACCATAAAATCATTAGAAAATGTGGGTTTGATTTTGATTATAGAGAATAAGAAGAAGATAGATCTGTTAAGAGAATGAGAAGGAGAAAAATAGAGAGAGAAACTGAGAGAAGAAGAAGAAGAAAAAGAAGAAGATAGATCTATTGAGAGAATGTGAAGTAGAAAAATATAGAGAGAAACTGAGAGAAGAAGAAGAACGAGATAGAGAAAGAAATTGAAAGAGAGGATGAGAGATAAAGTTAGAATGATTTTAAAAATCTAAAAATGATGTCTTTTTTGCCAAGTTGGACAAAATTTAAGGGGTTCACGCTTTTATCTGCGTTTAAGTTCACGCAGCTCTTTTACAGCGTGTCAAGAGGCACAAAAGCTACAAAAAAATGCAACTTAAAGAGCACGAATGGTGCCTCACAAAGTTGAGAGACATAAATGAAAATTTCTGAAAAATTTAGGGGGAAAATTATGCATTCCTCCAGAAATTTTGTGATTCAAGTTTTCATTGCAACTGTTGATATCATGGGGAAATCACAACAATGATTTTCCCATTCAGCCCTTATACTTTTTTTAGTTATATCATTGTTGCCACAATATCCCACTTAGCGCTTAATATATTTTTTTTTAATTACAACATCATCCTTTCACTTTAGCCTTTTTTTTTTATCTTTTTTAATTTTTAATATCATTTTAATTACGATAATGCAATTTTATTATCGATTCACAATTCTGCCCATATGGCTTCAATATATACAATAGATGTACGGATGTCACTTTGCAACGGGGCCCACAACAATGATTTGTCTGTTAAGCCTCAATATAATACCACCTCTTCACTTTAGCCTTTTGACATCTTTTTAATTACAATAATGTTATTTTACGATCAATTGATAATTCTACACATATCGTTTTTACAATTTGTACAATATTATTCTTTGATTATTCAATAATTTTTTAATATTAACAAAAACAGATATGAGAAATTTATGAAAGATAATTTATAATTAAAAATTATGAGAAATTTATGAAAGATAATTTATAATTAAAAATTATACTACTTATTTGGTAGGATATGAGAAATAAAAAACACAAAAAATAGTACATATTTATATAATTATTAATTGTTTATAGTAAAAAGTGATAAAATAAAAAAAATACTAAATGTGAATTTTATGTTTGTCATAATATATTTGCACCATTAAAAATAGAAATAGAACTTTAAAAGCACACTGTAAAATAAAAATAAAATATATGAAATACAATTGTTGGCTGAAAGGTTAATTTTATCTTGAGTTTGATGATTATGCAAAACAAATAAATTTAATATTCTTGTATGTGCTAAAATTATTTTATGCAGATTTTTAAATATGAAAATTACTAAAGAAGACAAGTTCCTATAAATCCAATATTCTTTGAAGACCATGAAGATATTGACGATTTTTTTTAGTAATTGGTATCTTAGGATATATTGTAGGACAGATAGAATATTTTTTTATAAACACAAAACTATTTTCTCTCTCAAAATAATTTTTGGAAATTGCCTTAAAAAGAAAAATCAAATCTTGCTCTTTTAATTTCACTTACCTAGATGAAAAATATTTTGGCTTAACTATTTTTGGCAACAAATAATCAAGTATTGTAAAAGATTCACATATCTTTTATTTTCGGAAATTACCTTAAAAAGAAAAATTACCTTAAAAAGAAAAGTCAAATCTTATTTTTGATTCCACTTACCTAACTGAAAAAGATTTTGACTTAAATATTTTTGGCAACAAATAATTGAGTATTTATTAAAGATTCGTATATTTTTTTTTATTTTCGAAAAGTCTAAAT